CCGGATACGTATTTTTATTGAATGGTGGAGCTGTCAGTTGGCGCAGTTCCAAGCAGAGCGTCGTGGCGGGATCTACGTGTGAAGCGGAATACATAGCTGCTTCGGAAGCAGCAAATGAAGGAGTCTGGATGGAGGAGTTCATATCTGATCTAGGTGTAATACCTAGTGCATCGGGTCCAATGAAAATCTTTTGTGACAATACTGGAGCAATTGCCTTGGGGAAGGAATCCAGATTTCACAAGAGAGCCAAACACATCAAGAGACGCTTCAATTCCATCCGCGATCAAGTCAAGGAGGGAGATATAGAGATTTTCAAGATACATACGAATATGAATGTTGCACACCCGTTGACTAAGCCTCTTCCACGAGCAAAACATGATCAACACCAAGACTCCATGGGTGTTAGAATCATTATTATGTAATCTAGATTATTAACTCTAGTGCAAGTGGGAGACTGAAGGAAATATGCCCTATAGGTAATAATAAAGTTGGTGTTTATATTTCCTTATATCATGATAAATGTTTATTATTCATGCTAGAATTGTATTAACCGGAAACTTAATACATGTGTGAATACATAGGCAAACAGAGTGTCCCTAGTATGCCTCTACTTGACTAGCTCGTTAATTAAAGATGGTTAAGTTTCCTGACCATGGTCATGTGTTGTCATTTAATGAATGGGATCACATCATTAGAGAATGATGTGATGGACAAGACCCATCCGTTAGCTTAGCATTATGATCGTTTAGTTTATTGCTATTGCTTTCTTCGTGACTTATACATATTCCTCTGACTATGAGATTGTGCAACTCCCGAATAGCGGAGGAACACCTTGTGTGCTATCAAATGTCACAACGTAACTGGGTAATTATAAAGATGCTCTACAGGTGTCTCCAAAGGTGTTTGTTGAGTAGGCATAGATCAAGATTAGGATTTGTCACTCCGTGTATCGGAGAGGTATCTCTAGGCCCTCTCGGTAATGCACATCACTATAAGCCTTGCAAGCGATGTGACTAATGAGTTAGTTACGGGAAGGTGCACTACGGAACGAGTAAAGAGACTTGCGGTAACGAGATTGAACTAGGTATGATGATACCTATGATCGAATCTCGGGCAAGCATCATACCGATGACAAAGGGAATGGCATATGTTGTTATGTGGTTTGACCGATAAAGATATTCATAGAATATGTAGGAACCAATATGAGCATCCAGGTTCCGCTATTGGTTATTGACCGAAGATGTGTCTCGATCGTGTCTACATAGTTCTCGAACCCGTAGGTTCCGCACGCTTAACGTTCGATGACGATTTGTATTATGAGTTATGTGTTTTGGTGATCTAAATTTGTTCGGAGTGCCGGATGAGATCGCAGACATGACGAGGAGTCTCGAAATGGTCGAGAGGTAAAGATTCATATATTGGACGGTTACATTCGGACATCGAAATTGTTTCGAGTGATTCGTGTATTTTTCCGAAGTACCGAGGGGTTACCAGACCCCCCCGGGGAAGTGTTGGGCCAACATGGGCCTAAGAGAGAGAGAGGGAAGCCCGCGGGGGGTGGCCGCACGCCCCCCTCATAGGGAGTCCGAATAGGACAAGGAGGAGGGGGCGGCGCCACCCTTCCCTTTCCCTCTCCTTCCTATTCCCTCTAGTGGAGAAAGGAAAGGGGGGGGGCGAATCCGACTTGGACTAGGAGTCCAAGTAGGACTCCCACCATGGCTTGCCCCTCCTGGCCGCCGGCCTCTCTCCCCCCTCCTTTATATACGTGGGCAGGGGGCACCCCAAAGACACACCGAGATTTCTCTTAGACGTGTGCGGTGCCCCCCTCCACAGTTTATTCCTCCAGTCATAGCGTCGTAGTGCTTAGGCGAAGCCCTGCGCAGATCACATCACCATCACCGTCACCACGCCGTCGTGCGGTCGGAACTCTCCTTCGACCCTCTATTGGATCAAGAGCTCGAGGGACGTCATCGAGCTGAACGTGTGCTGAACACGGAGGTGCCGTACGTTCGGTACTTGGATCAGTTGGATCGTGAAGACGTTTGACTACATCAGCCGCGTTAACCTAACGCTTCTGCTTTCGGTCTACGAGGGTACGTAGACACACTCTCCCCATCTCGTTGCTATGCATCTTTTAGATAGATCTTGCGTGATCGTAGAATTTTTTTTGAAATTACATGTTATGTTAACAGATGGATCCCGCCGATCGGAGGTATGGTTAAATTAAATATTGATGGTGGTATAGCAAAGAACAATAGGAAGGGGCGGTGATTATCTGCTGGATGACCAGGGTGTCTATCTAGGGTCATCCGCCTGCATCGTCAAGGAGTGCATGGTCACCGGAACACTCTAAGCAATGGCGCCCTCATAGGGACTAGCCCTCACAACCGACCTAAACATACAGATACTTATCATTGCATGAGATGTTGAATAGGTGGTCAAACATATTAACAAAGAGAGCAAGTAATCTATAGCCATATTCGACAGGAGATTGCAGTTTGTTGTCGGAACTTTGTAGTTGCAAAGGTCCGATTTATTCATGAGGGCAGAGCTTCCTATACCCAGGCTCATATAATTTTGTAAAAAGCACGTCATCTCTTGATTATGGTCTCTACATTTGGCAACCTAACAATACTACGATTGTACCCCAAGTTATTATGCAATAAAGTGGCTATGTTTTCCCTGAAAAAGGAAATTCCCCTTGGCAGGGCTGCTGCCCGGGGGGATTGAGAGGGAGGAAAGGAAGGTGGCAACTAGGCCGGCTTATTTCCGCCCAAAATTAAAGGAATGATTATTTACAGGCCAAAAAGATAACAACAACACGTAATAAAATATCAAAAGAGCTAAGAAAACTCAGAGAAAAAACACAAAATGGCATTTGAATATTTATAAGCTACCTCGTAAAAAATATTCCGTAGCCACTACATAAAACTAACAAGACATGGGAGCTCTGTAACAAATGTTGTAACATCCCTTACTTGACAAAAAGTTCAAGAGTAAAGCAAGCTAATGTGGAGGATTATGAGTAGTAATAGGGGGATGAAGAGGCCTACCCCAGTAGAATTCACTAGGGGGGGGGGGGAATTAGTTTGGAAAGTTAAATAAAACATTTGTAGATTCTTTGTAGGACTAGCATTATTGAAAGTTTAACGGTTTTGCTAAAGCACATCGATTTCACATTTAAATCCTATGTCATTGATTTTATCCGAAGATTCGTGCATGTATTTTTCTTTTTTCCTTTTCATATTTGATCGAGCCATTTAAATGTGCAATAACTAGGGCACATCTAGATGTTCCCTAGACAGATTCAAACAAAAATGTGGCAACACTTTGTCCTATATGTTTCTCACTGTTTCCATCATAGTAGTTTTAAAAAATATTCGTGTTTCTTGAAAATTCTTCACATTTTTATAAAAAAGTTTGCATTTAAAAAAATTTGGGAGTTTCTAAAAATTCTCGTTTTTCAAAAAATGTTTGTGTTTCCAAAAATTATTCATGTTTTCAAATTTCTTCCGTAGTTTCAGAAAATGTTTGAGTTAAAAAAAACTTTTCTTTTTCCGTATTTCTGTTTCTTTACTTCTTTTTTTCCTTTTCGTTGTAATTCCTTTTTCTTCTCTTTCTTGTTCTTGAGAATTTCGTTTTTTTTAAAAAATTCAAAAGATGTTCAGAAGTTAAAAAAATGTTCCTGTTATTATCTTTTGTTCACAAATTCAAAAAGCAATTCTCCATTTTTTATAAAAATGTTTGCATATTTAGAAAAATAGTTCACCTTTCAAATATTCTCCATTTTTTTACCAAAATGTTCACGTTTTCAAATTTTGTTCAGGAGATTGAAAAAAGGTCCCTCTTTCAAAATTCATTTGCAATTTTAAGAAAATGTTCGTGTTTTCCAATTTTGTTTGGTAGTTTCAAAATTTGTTTGCAAACTTCAAAAAAGTGTCTGTTTCTAATTTTGTTTGGGATTTTCAAAATATGTTCACAAATTTTTAAGAATGTTTACATTTTCCAATTTTGTTCAGGAGTTTCCATTTTTTCCAAATTTTTAAAAATGTTCACATATCCAAAATTTGTTTTGGAATTTGAAAAATGTTCACCTTCTTTTTTCGTTTTTCTGCTTATTTTCTCCTGTTCATTTTTGGTTATTTAAGAATATTTCATAGTTTTAAAAAACGTTCTTGATTTCATAAAAAATATTAATGCTTTTTCAATGAATGTTCAAAAAATTTAAAAATGTTTTCATTTCCATATTTTGTTCCGAGTTTGAAAAAATATTCTTCGTTCAAAAATTGTTCATGGATTCCAAAAATATTCACGTTTCCACATTTTTGGTCAGAGTTTCAAAAAGTGTTCCCTTTAAGAAAATTTTGTTCACATATTAAAAAATGTTCGTGATTTTCAAAAAAGTGTTCAGTTTACAAAAAAATTGTTCACATATTAAAAAAATGTTCGAGCCTTTTATTTTCCTTCTCAAATTTGAGAAGCGTTCGCTTTTATACAAAAACACCTTTTTTCAAAATAATGACCGCGTTCGGAAATTGACAAAATGTTCGGATCTACATTACCTGTAGCTTCGCGCGCCATACTAAAACCAAGAAAGCTTCTCTATCCCGTTGGCTAGGCTCGCGCGAGAGCAACGCGAGGTCCTTTGTTTGATCCCTCCCTCGAGCAGTATTTTTTGGGATTTTTTTTGAGAAGAAGTATTTTTTTGGATCTTTCACTGTATTACGCTAATGGGTCGGCCCAGATGGAGTCGCGCCTGTGCGTCCGCTCGACAATTCGCCGCAGCGAGCGGCGCATAGGAACTCCCGCTTTTGAGGTTCCATACAGGGAGCAGAGGTTGGTGACTTCTAACCGGGCGGCCCAATGGCAAAGCCCATCGCCCCAGCCCACGCACCCCGCTAAACCCTTACCCTTAAAACCCCCTTCTTCCTCTCGCCGCCACGGCGCCGCTCCCCGTCCCCGCAAAAACCCTAACCCCTACCCCCACCCCACCCGCCGCCATGTCGTCCACGCCGCCGGCCGTCGCGTCCCCTGCCTCTGAGCACACCAAATCCAAGAAAAAGAAGAGCAAATCCAAGGACGCCTCCGCCGACCCCGACCCCGCCGCCGCCGCCGCCGATACCACGTCGCTGGCGGACGCCGAGGCCAAGACTGATGGCTATATGATCAAGCCCCAGGCCCTGGTTCCGTCCCTCGACACCTCCACCTGGCCGCTCCTCCTCAAGAACTACGACCGCCTCAACGTCCGCACCGGCCACTACACCCCGCTCCCCTCCGGCCACTCGCCGCTCAAGCGGCCCCTCGCCGAGTATCTGCGGTACGGCGTCATCAACCTCGACAAGCCGTCCAACCCCTCCTCCCACGAGGTGGTTGCCTGGATCAAGCGCCTCCTCCGCGTCGAGAAGACCGGCCACAGCGGCACGCTCGACCCCAAGGTCACCGGCAACCTCATCGTCTGCGTCGACCGCGCCACACGCCTCGTCAAGTCGCAGCAGGGCGCAGGTAAGGAGTATGTGTGCATCGCCCGCTTCCACGCCGCCGTCCCAGACACGGCCCGGGTCGCTCGCGCGCTCGAGTCTCTTACCGGCGCTGTGTTCCAGCGCCCGCCGCTCATCTCAGCGGTCAAGCGCCAGCTCAGGGTGCGGACCATTTATGAGAGCAAGCTGCTGGAGCATGACGCCGAGCGCCACCTTGCTGTGTTCTGGATCTCCTGCGAGGCTGGAACCTATGTCCGGACGCTCTGTGTGCACCTTGGGCTGCTCCTGGGTGTCGGTGCGCATATGCAGGAGCTGCGCCGTGTCCGGTCAGGTATCCTCGGAGAGCAGGACAACATGGTCACCATGCACGATGTGATGGATGCAATGTGGGCACTTGACAACCACAAGGATGAGTCTTACATAAGGCGTGTGGTGATGCCGCTTGAGGTAATTCTTACCAGTTACAAGAGGCTTGTTGTGAAGGACTCTGCTGTTAATGCTATCTGCTATGGTGCCAAGCTTATGATTCCTGGGTTGCTCCGGTTTGAGAATGACATTGATGTTGGGGAAGAGGTTGTTCTCATGACTACAAAAGGGGAGGCGATTGCCATTGGTATCGCTGAGATGCCCACTGCTGTTATGGCGACTTGTGACCATGGTGCTGTGGCGAAGATCAAGAGGGTGGTGATGGACAGGGACACATACCCAAGGAAGTGGGGACTTGGTCCGGTGGCACTTAAGAAGAAGAAGATGATCGCCGAGGGCCTCCTTGATAAGCATGGGAAGCCGACCGAGAAGACCCCAGCTGAGTGGCTTCGAAATGTGGTGCTTCCTACTGGTGGTGATGCGATGATTGCTAGCCTTGCAGCTGCTCCTGAGCCCGAGAAGGTGAAGGTGGAACAACAGGATGTGGTGCCAAGTGAGGAGGTCAAGGAGAAGAAAAGGAGGAAGACTGATGAGGATGATGTGACTGCTTCTACACCTGCAAAGAAGATGAAGGTGGAGGAGGTCACTGAGGCAGTGGAAGGGGAGAAGAGTGAGAAGAAGAAGAAGAAAAAGAAAGACAAGGGAGAACCAGGATCAGCTGTTTCGGAGGCAGTGAAGGAGGAGAAGAGCAGTCTGTCTGATGAGGAGAATGGTACCAGCGAGAAGAAAAAGAAGAAGAAGAGCAAGGAAAGCGGTGATGATGTTGCTCCAGAGAGTGCGGAAGTTGAGAAGAGCGAGAAGAAAAAGGACAAGAAGAAGAAGAGCAAGGAAGGCAGTGATGATGTTGCTACAGAGAGTGAAGTTGAGAAGAGCGAGAAGAAAAAGGAGAAGAAAAAGAAGAAAAGAGATGCAGAGGAGGCACAATAGGTAGAGATAGTAGTTTACATTGGCTTGTCATGTTATTTGGTTGCAGTTATGTGGGAGCTTGAACTACCTGTTTTATTTGCTTTGTACCCCTTGCAACCGTCTATGGTTTGGTAGGTAGGCCTGATGTACTATCTTTAGGTTACTGCCATTCAACCGAAATGCTATGGTAATTAGAGAGATTTCCCTTTAAATTTGGACAATCAGCCATGTATTGCAGTATCTGTTATCAGTTTTTGCAGTGAATTTTGTTCTCATCTCATCTTAGTACTCCACCTTTACTGGAATTGCTGGCTTGCTAATCTCATCAATCTGCTGTTTTGATGATATTAAGCTGAAGTAGAGTTTGCCGATCCTTATATTTCCATCATACTGGTGCGAGAACTTGGTTTGTGCTACTGATATATACATTCTTGCAACCACCCAGAAATCTGTGATCGTCTGTGCACGTCAGTCTGAAATTCTGTCCCATATTGTAGCATTAAATTTGCCAGTTTCACTTCTTTGATAGGACCAGAAGATATATGCTTGTTCCCGGCATGGTTATTCATATATTGAATTTCCTGAGTAACATAAGTGGTATGTGCATGGTGTGTAACAGGATAGTTCATCAGATTCTAGCAGGGTTGTTTGGTTGCAATTCTGGGGGAACCCCTTGCAACCATGTATTGTTTCGAAAGCCCAACCTACTATCTTTAGGTTGCTGCCATTCTACTGAAATGCGATGGTTCTTAGAAATTTCCAATCAAATTTTGATAACAAGGCTGTGTATGTTATCAGTAAATGTAGTGGATTTTTCGCCCCCATTAGTAGTCCACTCTCCACTCCACTATACTGAAGCTTCTGGCTTGCCAATCTTCAATCTGCTATTTTGCTGATATTCTTGACCTGAAGAAGAAAAATCCCTAGTCATAATACTTCCACCACATTAATGTGCGAACTTGATTTTCTACCTTGCTGATACACAATCACGCAGGAGTCCCAGGCCTGCATTTCTGTGTCTGTTATCTGTTAATGCATTTTTTTGTACTATTCTGAAATTTCTGTCTTTGTTGTGCCAATATTGATGAGAATCTGCCTGCTGTTTGCTGATATTGTGGAACTGAAACGGAACTTTACTGCGGAACGTTTCTACCAATCGGATGTGAGAACTTGGTTTTCCCATGTCTGAATACATGCTTATAATCACCCATGAGTCATTTTTTGGCTCCGAAATCTTCATCTGCACCCAGAGTCTGAAAGTCTCGCAGTGAATTTGCCAGTTTCAGTTTTTTGATATAGCAGCAGCATATGTTGTGATCCTCTTGGCACCGTCATTCCAATATTGGTTTTGCTCATTAGATATGTATATGGTGCATAACAGCATAATGTCGGCGGATTCTCTCCTGCCATTAAACTGAAGAAATATGAAGAATTCTCTTCGTCTCATAATGTATGACATTTTTTGACACTACACTAATGTAAAAAACGTCTTACATTATGAGACAGAGCGAGTAGTTGTCATATCTAGAATTCAGTTGTATGAAGTGATGACTAAGCTGGTCCTGTTAGTGCTCGTGATCTGGGTAGTGTTTTTATTTTTCTGATGGAAGTTTTAACTATGTTTTTGAGCCCTCGTTGCTTTTACAACATTCTGATTATTTTAGGGTTTAAACTTTGTGTCTGTTCGGGGCATATCTAGATATGCTCTAATTATTGCACATCTAAATGGCTCAATCAAATATGAAAAAAAAGAAAAGAAAAATACATGCACGAATGGTAAAAGCAATGACATAGGATTTAGATGTGCAATACTCAGGACATATCTAGATGTGCTTTAGCAAAACTGTTTTTATTTTCATATTTTTTAACGAAAGCGAAAATGAATCTGAAAGTGAATATGGAACAGACACGAATACATAGCAAATACGACGCATACACTAATACAGATGCAAGGAGTTCGTTGAAAGTGGAAACGAAACTTGACTCGTGTAGGGAAACCAAAAGCAATCCAATGAAAAGGCAAGAAGGTGTGATGGAGTGAAGACGTGAAGGATGGGAGTAGGAGGTGTGAACTCGGAGGGGCGAGGATTACACAATAAGGGAGGATAAAGGTTTTTGTTATAATTGATTGGAATAAAAGCGTAAATGGGTTGAGCTAAAGTGGGTTATATAAACAGGATGTAAGCAAACAATCCGCATGCGTCTATAGTTTAATTTTAGCATAAATTTCACCGGAAAATGTTGTTTTGTTTTAGTCTCCTCAAGAAACATTCTTCTTTTCTTCCATTTTTGTAAATTTATATTCCTCTTTTCGTACGCCCCCTCCCAAGGACCTCGACCTTGATTATCCACACATGCTCCCATAATAAACTCAACCCTGATCATGATCAATCATACAATGTTTCTTTGTGTTTTTACTATTCATGGGGGTATGCTATCATGGTTGTCGTGATGATTCGACCTTCCCTCTCACACTTGATCCACACCGTAAATCAACGACCCAGGAACCCAACCCACCCCTCCTCCTGTCCCCATGAAAAAGGAACGGTGAGGCACGAAACACCAAATATGTTTCTCTAACTTTCCAAGTTGAAGTCAAAGGTGAACCATGTCTTTGACTTGCTCATCTTTTGCTTGTTGCATAAAAATTTGTCAGTCTGAAACGGATGCTAACGAGGTTAGAGAATATCCCCCACCTCCCGGAATGCACATCCCGCACCCATCTCTCCACCCCTTGCTTCCGATCATGCCTTCGTGGGTATAAATTTGATTTATTTGATAATAAATTAGTCACATGTGTCCGCTATGATACACTATCATAGAATGATACTACTGTGACTTCTCTCGTCACTAATTGTAGTGTTTCATCTTTTTTTATTAGACGATGCTTGTGAGTTAGGGAAGTAAACACGAAGGACATGTGTTCATTGTGAGAGTGGTCTTGCACTAGGGAAACTTAAAACACATAAATAGATGTTTGCGACCAGCGAGAATTGTTTGTACTAGTGATTAGTAAGTTGGTGGACAACAATCCCATGCTAACCACTATGCAAAAAACATTTGTGTCTACAGTGTCACATATGTTGATCGGAACCATCACTTCTCAATTTAGAAATGATATATTGATTTATGACATGCACTATGGCATCCTCGACGTGTCTTGCGCGGAATTGTGATTGACGAACCACAAGAATGTATACGTACAAAAAATAAAACGATCGCAATAATTTGCAAAGTCAAAGTAATTGGTTTGATAATTTTAAGATTATGTTGCAGTTTGGTGGATGGTTGTATTGCTCTAGGTTGACTTTGAATGCGTAGACACACATGTTAGGTTGAAAATACTAATAATGAAAAATGGTACAACTTTGGCACTGTATGAAGGGCAAGTTTGCAAATTCCAAACTTGGGAGGTACGTGAGTGCAATAGTTCCAGTGAACTGAGGAATTCCTCTGCGTTCTGCGACGACCCCCAGCCCAAAATTGGGGCAGAAACCCAGTCCCCGTCGATCCGAATCCCCCGAAATTCCGGGATCGGAACTCTAGCCCATCCCGAATCCCATCTCCGGCCCAATGCTTCCCGCCGGCGACGGCTCGTCCGCCGCCGTCGCCGCCCTCTCTTTCACCGATGCGGACGGCGACGACTACTCCGAGGACGGGGACTTCACCGGCGCCCCGTTCCTCGAACCTCCCGATCCGAGCCTCCCCGACCCCACCTCCTCCTCCGCCACCGCCCTGCTCCCCGCGGGTGGAAGCGGCGGCCAGGCCTCGTCGGGCGGCGAGCGGCGGCCCCTCTTCCAGCGCCTCTGGACGGAGGAGGACGAGATCGTGATCCTCCGCGGGTTCGCGGAGTTCACCGCCGCCCGCGGCACGGCGTTCGCGTCGCACCAATACGACACGGACCCGTTCTACGAGGATATGCGCCGCCGCCTCCAGCTCGACTTCTCCAAGAGCCAGCTCGTCGAGAAGCTCCGCCGCCTGAAGCGCAAGTACCGCAACTGCGTCTCCCGCCTGCGCGGGTCCGGCGCCGCCTTCTCCTTCCGCTCCCCGCACGAGCAGGCCATTTTCGAGATCGCGCGCAACATCTGGCGCCCCACGAATAAGCACGGCCGGGATCCCTCGGCCGACTCCGACGACGAAGAAGCTGTGGTTGCCGCTGCGGCGGTGGCTGCCACACCTGTCCCTGCGAACACCAGCCCCAATGGGGAAGTCAAGTCCCCCTCAGGGCGGCAGCGCCGCCGTAGACGTTCGGTGGAATCAGCAGCTCCATCTGCCCCTGCAGCTGTCCCTGCCACCATTTTGGTGCAGCCCCCTCAGCCAGTGCAGGTGCAGGTACCCGTGTCAGTCCCTGTCAAGATGGATGACTCGCTACCAGCACTGCCCCAGGCTCCAATGCCTGTGACAGTGACCATGGAGGGTTCCGAGCCACTCAGGTTTCCAGTCATGTCACCTCAGTCAGGAATTGTCGATGTCGAGAAGAATTTTCTGACGCCTATGTTTAAGGAGATGATTCACGCAGTGATAAATATGGGATCCAGTCCGTTTGGTATGAAACTTCCTGAGCCGCCACACGGCTTGCCTATGGAAGGGGAGAAATGGAGAAATCAGCGAATCCTGGAGCTGGAAGTGTACTTGAAGCGGATCGAACTGCTGCAGGACCAGGTGAAGGCGACACTTGAGGAGCTCAAGTCCTCCACACCTAGGACTTGAGGTTTTTTTAAGTTAGGAACTGATACGGTGTCTCTCATTATAGAATTCTTGCTACAAATCTGAGGTTAGATGTTTAGTGTTTTTCCTCAACATTTTCTCGTGCATAAAAGGACATTGTTGACTGGGTTGGGACTTGGAAACTAGTTTATTCATGGTTCTAATTGTTCATGTGATATTTAGCTGCTACTTATTTCTTTATAATGTAGGCGTTGTCCTCTGTTTTGAAGTGTTATGCTTTGAACGGACAGGATGGTCTCCTGATGGAAAGCTTGAGCACTTTCAGTTAATATATTATTAGGATCACAGATTGT